ATTAAATCTATGAAATCTAATAACGTTGTATCTAAACTGAAACGGTAAAAAATATCAGAAATGTCTGACTTGGTTTAGATATTTCCAAGTTGAAAGCTTGCCATTGTCTTGTTCACCTTTTCAGTTTTGAATTTGGATTGCTATAGCATGCTTAATATCTACAGGATACTTAGTAACATTGGCTAAGGCTATAACAGCTTAATTATTTAGCGGGCTAAAAGGTATATATGTCACCAAGCATTATAATCATGATTACTGTGAAATTCCATCATTGCTTCATATTTGGGGTATGGTATGCAGCACTGCATAGCCGTGTAAGAATGTAGGAGTGGAAAAGGTGCTGAGAATGAGGAATTCCTTACAAAAAGAAATTGAACAGATTAGGACTGCTGAATTTCAGAAAGAGATCTTGGAACTGGATTGTGTTAGCAATTGCAAATCAGACATCATAGCATGGTGAAGGAGAATACAAAATGATCATTCTTCAGTTGTCACTAAGAAAAATCTGGGAGACATAGTGAAATGGCCAGGCTGCATGTATGACCAGAGCAAAGAGAAGCACTTTCTCAATATAAAATGTACAATCTTTTGGAAGTCAAGACTAAAAATATGCTAAAAAATGTATTAATTGTATTCATGGAGAATAAATTCAGTAGTGGGTATGAAAAACAATTGCAATATAGTGTTTAGCTGAAGGAGGCCCTTAAATTACTGTAAGCAGAAGGACCCTGAACATCTCTGAATATGTCCTGGTTCTTACACTGTTTCCTAAAGTTTTGCTTCTTCCACTCAGTCAGAAGCACAGTACTGAGTTAAATGGGCCTCTGATCTAAGCATTTTCCACCCCAACACTTTTCTGAACAGTTAATTTGTATTTAAGCTATAGTTTAACAGTATTTAAAATTAGGGTTTGTCAGATCACCACTGTGTTGTCTGCCACTGTCTTCCTGCACAACAAGTTACATTTTAAATAGTTGTGGCTTTCAGTTCAAGTGACATTTCCTCTTCAGGGACATTCTTGCATAGTATAGTTTCAACAACTGCTGCTGAAATCCTGAGATGTGGATCTTATTTCTAAATTCTGACAGAGGCAGTACTAGAAATTGGCACTGGATTTCTATACCTTGTGTACTCCTACTTTTTGCAGAATTTTTGACTCAGGATCAGAATGATTGGTGATTACAATGAATTAAAGATAAACAATTTTTCTATTTAAAATGTCATCTATGTCAGCCTGCTGGTAGAATGTTTAATTCCATATGATTTTAGGAAAAAAACCCCAACAAACTCTTATAGAATAAAACCCATATGTAGTGCAGCTCCAGTGTACAAAAGTGACAAAATACAAGAAAACTGGGGAAAGAGAACAGAAAGGGATGCAGAGAACTGGTGAGTAAAGGAAGGTGTGACCCTGAAAGTACCCTTCTGAAAATCCAGCCTCAATTCTGTTTGCCACTCACTGGTCAAAAGGTGGCAGGCTGGAAGATATTTGGTAAGAGTCACTATGAAGAAAATTTCTCATTTAAGGAATCTTTGATAACAGGAGTTGATACAGTTGTAGAAATTGCAAGCACTTGCACACCAGAAAACTTGTCTTTTCTTTACATTGTTTATTGCACAGCTGCATGTAGTGAATGGTATTGTGTCCACTTCCAAACTTCGGCTTAAAATAACTGAAAAATGTGTAGGAAAGAAAGAAAGGGGGAATTAAAGGGAAAAAAATGGAGTAGAGCAAAATATTTGGTTGTGACTAACTTGCAGTAAATAAAAATCTTGGTGGTGTACTTATAGTTAGAATGAGTCTAGGTCTCCTAGAGAAGGAATCACTCAAGAACTAAGGGAAAGTAGATTAAATGGGTTGGTTGATCTCTATTTATGGGCTATGTGATTCTCTTAAAGAATTTACTCTCATTACTTAATTTGGCAAGAGAAGTTCAGTTTGCATTTCACTTATTCCCCAGTGCAGGCTCAGACTCTTCCTTTCAGAAAGTGTGCTTTTAATGGGCAGTTCTTAAAGCAGGGACCTAATGTCAGGGATCTCTGAGGATGTGGTGTGTCCGAGAGGTTCTGAAACACTTCAGCTGAATCCTGTAATTTCACGTGTAATTTCTTGGCTATATCACAGAGCTGTGGCAGAATTTCTTCTTGGTTACTAAGTTATCTGGAAATCACAGGATCAAAGGAAGGGAACCGGCCTGTGAGTGCTGTAACTCAGCTCCTCTGCCCTGGGGAAGGGTCACTAACACCTCGTTTTCCTGATAGAGCTTTAGGATTGCTCTCAGTGCTGCCGGGATCTCCTCGGGCAATTTGTTCCCGGCTTTGTTTGCCTTCTCTCTAAGCAGTTTCTTGGTTTAATTGGGATCACCTTTAATTAAATTTAAATCCGAATGGTTATTCATGTGTTGGCTATAAACAACACACTCAACACATGAGTTTCCTGCAAAGAGAAAAGTAACAGCTCATTTTTATGTTCTTCTTTAACTAGCTGGATTAAACATTCTTGTGCTGTGTCTACAACTCTTTCACTCTGAGGATTAGGGGGTGTGAAATTACTTTACATTGCCTTCGGTCATATGAGCATCATTTTATCTGAACCAATTCTTGCTGCAATGAAGTTTGGCAGCTGGAAGGTTCTCTCTGTAGCAGGTTGACACTTTTCACTATTCAATTTCTATTTCTGCAAAATGGTACATTTCTTATGTTAGTGAGAACCTGAATTGCTTGTAGGTTACAGTTTTTAGTTGTTGCCTGTGTGAGTGTCTTTGGCATTTAAAAAAAAACAGGTGTACTGAGAACCATTGTAGGAATGATTAAGTAGTCCAAACAAGTGAAACCTTGTCTGATTACGAAGAAGTATTAGTTTTATAGTAAGTAAATTTTACTGCAGACTGAGTTCAGACCAGAAAAGTGTCTCTGTTTGTAGTCATTACAATTTTATATCTGAGGTGGAGCACATTAATTCATAGTGTAAGTATGGGCAGTGAATATTCACTGGAAAATTCACAAATTGAAGAATAGTTTGTTTAGTTGGTCAAAGTGCGAGCCAGTGGTGTTCTGTTACTGGATATGGAAGCAAATTTAGCAGCCAGAAGGACCTTGCTGCATGTTCTCAGTTTGACATTATGTGGTATTAGATTGTACAGGCTCTTGGATATTAAAGGTTGATGCCAAATGGGGTATGCACAGGAAAAAATGCATTAAATACAGGGACATCTGCTCCTGTTTTCAAATGACATGGAAGAAATGGGTAACATATCACACTAATGCAGATGCTTTTTATTAATCAGGAGTTATAATTAAATGCAGTTTTTTCTGTGGTTGGTGATGAAAGTGTGATTGCAACCTCAGATGGGGGAACTGTTTCAGATTATGTAGACCACAACTGACTGTGACACAGCAGCAGCACAAACCCTGTGCTGGCTTGCTTGTTGCACTGTAATGCTGTATTCCAGCCATGTTTCAGCCCACGTTCCAGCCCAGCCTGTGTGATGAGGAGGGTGTGCTCCCTGGCACACTGGGGCACAACTCAGTTACCACAGCGTGGTGCCCGTGATGAGACACCCAGTGTGCAGATGGAAATCTTATACAATATACAATACAATACAGTTGTTATACAACAGTTATACAATAGTGCTGTTACACAATAGTGCTGGAGGCAAAATCATTAATGGAAGTTATGGGTTTAGGTTCTCATGCTGTGAAGGGGGAAAAAGAGACAAGACAAGGCTGGCTTTCCAAAGCTCATTTTGAGGTAGCTGCACTAGAATAGGGCTGGAGAGGTACAGCAAACATGTTTGTGGACAGTGCCTTTTCTTGTCTCCCAGCTGAATTGATGCATGTGTGTTCTTGTTGGTACAAAGCTTGTTCAGAGTACTAATAAACTACTTAAAGGATTCTCATTTAAAAGAATGTTCTGCATATTAATACATGTGAGACTCAGATATTGGGAACTTGCTTAAAAACTTGTGATCCAACTTGTTGGCCAAGAGAAGCAAGAGAAAAACTGTAAGTTTGAGTACTTTGCTCAGTGCACAATGCTGAGAAATCCTGACTATATCTAGCTTCAAGAATGGGTAAACCTTGGAGATGGGGATGGGTGATTGTAACCTCCTGGTTGTGCTGCTACTTTTCCAATCAAAAGGTCAGGGTGTGTAAAATATTTGCCTTGAGGGGTTAACTCTCCTTGTGGAAAGACCCTGCCCTTCCTAATCCTTCCTAGTGTCCTTCATGAGAAGGGTCCTCTGCCTTGGGGGCTCTTTTTTTCACTTGCCTTGTGCTGCTGAGTGGTGAGTATGGACTAAGTGGCATTGAACTCCAGACCAAGAATTTATCTTTTACTGAGATTTCCGTGCATGTGGGATTGAGTGGATCATCCTGAAGTGGTAATGCGAGAACTGGGGTAAGAGTGGTAACTTAAGTGTTAACTCTAGGAGCATTTTGGGTTGGTTGGAAATCAACCTGTCCTCTTACATTATTGCCTTTGTAAAAGGTTCCACATTAGATGGGAGTTCCTGAAATATTATTGCAACCACCAGCACTCTCCATTGTTGAAGTGTCAGAGTGCAGCAGAGCAGTGAGTGTCTGTTAACCCAATTTCATTACCAAAAATTACCTTATTTCCTGCTTTTGGTAATATTAACACATTTCCAAGCTTTGCATCATGCAATTTTTCCATTGCTGAGAACAAAGAAAATCTATTTTTATCCAGACAGTCCAAAAGGAAAACCAAAAAATAACCCAACCCAAAAAAGCAAACGAACAAAAAACCAGCACAAAACCCAGAACAAGCAACCCCAAACTTTTTGTCTCCATGTTTGATGGCTGTAGGAGACCTCCTATACTGGCAGTCCTTTGGCAGGCAGGGAATAAGACGTGTTACTTCCTATGCCATTCTATTTCTCTCGTGACTGCGGAGCGAATGGCTGAACGCCGGGCTATTCGTGCTCCCCTGTTGTCGCAGTGTGAATTCCGGTTGCTAAGGCTGTGCGTTGTGTCCGCAGGTTCCGCAGAGGATAGAGGAGCAGGGCGATGCTCCCGAGGACGGCGGCGGCGGCGCGCCCGGGCTGTGGGGCAGCTGGGGCCCCTGGTCCGCCTGCTCGCGGAGCTGCAGCGGCGGCGTCATGGAGCAGACGCGGCCCTGCCTGCCCGCCTATTACCGGGAGCGCGGCTACCGCCGCCCGGGCCGCCACTTCCCGGCCGCGGACCGCGCCCTGCCCCGCCACGGCGCCCACCACGAGGACCCGCTGTCCGCCTACCCCGGCCACGTCATCTCTGCCATCCGCACCTCCGTGCCGCTGCACAGGAACGAGGAGCAGCCCTGGGCCGCGCTGCGGAACAGCAGCCAGGGCGGGCGGGCGGCGCTGCGGGGCAGCCGGCACTCGCAGGGCGCCGGCCCGGACAGGAGGTACGGGCGTGCCGGGCTCCTGCGGGAGCTGGGCTTTGCACACCGCCAGGGAGCTGTGCAGCCACCCAGAATGGCTTTTACAGTGTTTACTGCCTTCTGCCTTACTGCCTTCAAGGCCCTCCCTCAACTACTTACGTGATGTCCAAAGGCAGATGGAATTAACCTACCATTTAAGCAAATTATTTCACTTCCCTTTAAGATTTGTGTTGTGATTTATTGAGAGGTTTTTCCTTTTCTGCTGCACTCTCATTTGACATTTCCATTAAATATCAGAACAAATAACTGTTCTCTAATTGTATTCTTAACTTCAGTAGCCAGCCTGTTATTAATTGGTTAAAAAAACTAACTTTTTGTGTAAAGGATGGTCAACTATCTGTTGACTTTAGTTCTACTCAACACTCTAGTTTTGCTTTGTATGTCTATTTGTTGCCTCTTTGTTTTCTGTTTTTTCTTTTTTTATCCTACCACCTCTTTTAGCAAAATTTCCTGTTTGTTTAATACATAAAGTATTTGAAACACTATAAGTTTTTATTAATTTAACAGTAACAGTCTTTAAGGCTGGGTGAAGCTGTGCTGTTACAAGTAATTCCAATTAATTTTCCCGCTGTTGGAGAAACACTGCTTTATCCACTTAGATACCAATGTATCAGATTTGATTTTTTTTTTTTTTTTTTTTTTTTAATATGTGTGAAAGGAAAATAGATGTGTTTCCAGTCTGGAGGCTGAGCAGAACAGGCATGGAGATCCCCTTGGATGGAGCACTCCTTTAATGTCTGTTCTCTCTGTCTTTCCTCTGAATATGTATTCCAGCAGCTCTCTGATTCTTTCTCTCTCAGCTCTCTTCTAGGAGATGCATGAAGAAAAGTTTTTTGGGGTAGATGACAAAAACACCCAAACCAAGCAGAACCCAGTCCCTGCCCACAAACATAACCAAAGAAACCTTCCTTCATGGCATCTGCATCTTTAAGATTCCTAGTGAAGCAGTCAATTGTAATTCCCTTTCTAAAGATATTCTTCTGTCCTTAACAGCCTAAGAAAGAATATTACCTTGAGGCAGTATTCCAGCCTGACTGGAATAAGACAGTAGATCTCTGTTGCTGCTGATAAAGACATTCTCAACCCCTGCAAGAAACTCTGTCCATATAAAAGAATACTTGAAAATACAATTAACCTGTTAAGCTCCTGCCTGTCTCAGTGAAGCAAGAGTTTCAAAAATTGGGACCAAATGTTCAGATGTTGATCTTCTCTGGTGTTGCCAATTTCCTTCATCACTGGCTTTGTCTTTGTGTCAAACCCATGCAAATGATAGCCTAGACCTGCTGAATATAAATTCAGTGTGGCACTGATGGTCTTACAGAAGCTCAGGGAGTGCCAGAGACAGGATTAGTAGTGTTAACATGAATGCATTGAGACAAAAGTTGTATTTTATTTTTTCTGTTTTCCTACTTAATAACTGGCTGTAATGCACTTCAGTTCTGGGCTGTGCAGTGTGAGAGCCCCAGGTTGTGGTGCATGGCTGGGTTATTGCTGGCACTGAACTGTCAGCACAAATCCATCCAGAGGCTCTTTGCTCTAGCCCTTGGCACCTCTGTCTCCCAGGGAATCCCAGCTGGCCTGCCTCTGCTGCCTCTGCTGGGCTTCCATCCCCACTGCTGGGCTGTCCCTGCTGCTCTGGTGGCCTCTGCAGGCCAGCACAGGCTGGAAGGGTTTGGAGCAGTCACTGCAGGATTGGCTGGAACATGAGAGGATGGTGAGCAGAAAATGATACTGACTGTGTGCAGAACTGGAGCTGTGGTATTTCCTAAGAAATGCCTTGCCATATGAAATATTAAAATGCTCACTTTCCTGTATGATGGAGGTGTTTGCTTTTGAAAATTCTTGTGCTTTCCTAAGCACAGTACAAGCTTCTGTACTACAGTTGATTTTCCACCCCCACACACTCTGCCCCTTGGCAAAAGACTGGATTCAAGGTCAGTGTTTTAATCTTACTTGCATAATAAGTTATTTCCATCTTGTGTTAGGAGTTCCCTGGTGGCTTTAAAGCCTGTTGTATTGCATAACTTTCAGATTCCTTGGTGGTGACTGTAAAAACAGAATGAGAACAAAAAATGTTATTTGAAAATGGAATCATTTTGAATGACAAACCTAATAGTTTTCCTTGATTTACAAAATCCAGAGTAAAAACTTTCTTTAAAAAGGAAATTACTGTTCCCATCAGGTATATGGAAAATGGATTTCAAAATGTGAGTTACTCTACACATAATTTTTATACTGTAGAACTGTTTAGTGTTCACTAAAAGGATGATACTGGAAATTCATGTCAGTCTGTTAAATAACACTTGTGTTTTCACAATTTGTACAGTCAGTGGAAACTTTTTGGGGTATTTTTATTTACTGTACTGAACTTTTTCTGAAAGCTGTAATTTTAGCAGACTTCCATAAAACAATAAGAGAGGAATGGACATCTGTGACTGAGATAAGCTCACATTGATAACATGGTAAAATGAAATTGGATGGCTGCCAAGGCAAAGACTTTTGACAGCAATAGCAGCCCTATACAGCAGACCAGTGTGTTTGTATCATTTACCAGCAAGTGGAAATGTTCTCTGCCTGCTTTCAGGCAGCTGACAAAGAAATTATTATGTTTTTTTTTATCAAAATCCAAAATAGAATTTGTATATAACAAAATTTGCTGTACCTTGTCTTGAAGAGGATATTCACATTTTCAGCTTTTGAAATTTACTTTAGTTAGGCATTAGAAGTCAAAACTGCATGAGAAGTTCAGGGAGAGTGAGGTTTGAGGTACCTACAATTAGAAGTCTGGTTTAAAAAATTTCAGTGCTCCCCTATTTAACTCGGTGAAGTAAGAAGGTTCTTGCATGATTGAAATGTGTTAATTGCAATCACTGTTTGTACACTGGCAAAGGCAGGGAGCTTCCCCACCTTTGAAGAGCTGAGTTTCCTGTAGCACAGACTTGGTTTGTTATTTTTTACCTAGCTAAAGTGCATGAAGAACACCACACACTAAGACCAAACAGGAAAGAGAAGATAGTGAAAAAATATTAAAGCATTTAGACATCTTTATTGAGAGGCACATAGAGAAAAGTAATAAGGGCATGCAGAAAGATAAGATGCTTTAAGAGAGAAAGGAAATCTTGAAGGAAATATTATTCATGGACTAGGTTTTAGTACTTCTTAAATGTTGCATTTTCAATTCTCTGTTTTGGTGATGGAGAAGACAGAACCACAATTTCTCACCAATGTGTTGAATGTAGGATGTTTACAGCTGCCAAATTCACTTTCTCTTCACCTAAGCTTTGGTGGCAGAGCAACAAAGCTCAGTGTCCACTTGTGTAAGCATGATACGTACTTTGTATCTGGGGTCATAGGAGCAGAAAGAAAAAAAACTACAATTATCACCAGAATAATGAAATAACTAAAGCATTCTTGCATAAATAGTGCAAGTTAAAGAAGTATGTTAGTAAGGAAAGGGCTTCCCTAAAGCAGTTCTTGTGTATGTGGAAGAAGAGTGAGAGGAAAAATTTGCAGTGAGGAAATAATCCAAAAATCATCAACTCACATGGCTGTAGCTCTGGGTCTTTATTCTGCTGCCAGCAGCTGACGTGCAAGTGTGCTGTGCTGCTCTGTACCCTGCATAGGGTCACTTTGCATTTCTGGGCCTTTGAGCAATGGAAAGGAAGAGTGCATCATTTAATGTCAAACCAGAATTTCCTCTCTGAAAGTATTTCTTTTGCCCACTCCCAAAGATGCTCTGACCAGGCAAATGTAGGTCACTCTGCTGGCAGGGCTACAGTTAACTTTTAAAAGGACAATTCTGTTATTTCCTTAACCAGTAGTCACAGTGTTGTGATGCAATTTCTGTGACCCGTGCTAGTCAGTTTTGATTCCTAGAGGTGGAAAAATGTGTGACTGCTGGACCTCCATGTTCAAGAAGGTATTATTTTCTGAAGTTGTGAGGCTTTATATTTATTGGCATGAGTGTTTGCTTTTCTTAGTATCTGGAATGAAACCCAGCTCAAGTACTTAGCTACCCCTGTTTTCATTAAATCTCTCATAGAATGAAAATGTGATGGAGCCCACTGTGGTTATTAAAGCTTATTGTGGGTTGGTGTGTGTACAGAAGGAAGATAGGAAGAGAAGGGTTGGATCCCTTTGTTAGGACAAATTTTCCAGAAATATCTAAGAGCAGCAGTGGTAATCAAGGAATTCATGTTGGTAGCACTTGGTGGATATAAAGCTGTGTGAAGAAGGTGTTTATTTTCCTTCTGAACAAAATTCTGGACAGGATCTAGTAGCAATAATGGTCAAATGAGGTGTTTCTTCACAAAATGAGTAGCTAGTTGGGATGGTTGAGGCCTCAGGTTGACTTTTTGCTGACACACTTCTCATCAGGGCATTAATCCCCGTGACATGCTCTAGGTCTCATTATTATCAAATTAATACCAGTTTTTATTATGCTACTGCAAGCATGCTTTGAGTGGGATTACCAGAAATAACCCCCTAACACAATGCTGTTATTGCAAACCACCTGAGTTTTCTTATTCTTAATACTGACCATTTCAACCCTTCCTGAGCTGGACACATTGAAGGAGGGGAAGTGAGAGCACTGCTGCTGTTTAGTCAGGTACCACTGAATTATTGCCCCATCAGTGAGGGCTAGAAAGAACCAAACCTCCTATAAGGAGGTAGGGCATCTCAGCAGAGGTATGAGGTCACTTGCATTGAGTTTTTGCTGGTTTACCTGCCAACTGCATGGTTGCATTATTCAATCAAATCTTAAGAGGTTAAGAATTGCCTGGGATCAGAGGTATTATTGAAAAAGAGGATTGAAGTATTTGGGTTTGAATTTTGAAATCCTATCTCGGTGTTGAATGTCACATAAATGAGGTTATACAGCATTTGCTGAGAGATCAGTAAAAGCAAATATACTAAGTTATTGTACTGGGCATATTGCAGCTATGCTGAACTGGGATATCAGT